TTTTGTTCAGCGCACCCCACCGCCGTCTTGGAAATTGCACATTCAAGGAGGACGGCGTAGACGCCACCGGATAGATGTTGAAAGTGGCGACACCCTCATCCTGGGTTTTAGGTTTGTGGTACCCGACTCAGGATCGGAATCCAACCATACGGCTTTCGACCCCACCACGGACAGCTCCAGCAACTCCACCTCCGATGGAGATGAGTCCGATAATGAACGTAGCTCCGCTGCATCTACTCGTTCAAGAAGTCGGCGACGTGGAGCTACGCGGCGCAGCTCTACATCAGACCACTCATACCAAGGTGAGGCCACAGATGGGTATGCCGAACATAGGTCCTTATCGTACGAGCATGAGAGTGATGCCGCTGTCGGACTGCCCAACCCTAGCACCAATCCCCTTTCTCTTCCGCCACTACCGGCTTCGCGGTTGAGCGGCGGAGTCGTGCAAGTACGAACTCAGCCAGATCCGAGGATTGCTAACTCAGGTCAAGGCGAGCCAATGGACGCAGCTGATAGAGCGACCAATGCTGGAACGGCCGACCATGGAGCACCCCCCCGAGGGGAACCTGTCCGTAACCGTCCTCGACGATATCAGAGACAGGACGCAGCTCCCCCTAGTCCACATACTTCGCTGCACTTGGCGGCGGATGAAGTGATTGAGGATCACCTCATAGACACAGTCTTTTTGATTCTCACGCCAGGTTATACAGGGGAGGAGGTACTCGTCACCCTGCCGATACCCTGTGACGTTGATGATGCATTGCAAGCCGTTGCTGAAATAAGGAATCCTGATCATTCGTTGCTCTTCGATTGCCTTCTGCCAGCTGAACCACAGCCGGCACTAACGTTCGGCACTCTTCTCGCCCTCCCTACGTGGGCTTGTGGCCATCCCATTGTTGTTATCGACACGCGGTCCATCGACGGCAGACTCTTTGCCTTTGCGCTGCCCGAGACTTTACGGAGGGAATCGGTGTTGCTACAAATTGGACTGCAGGACCGGCCGGGCTTGCATGTCTATGTCGGCACCACTCTGCTTGAGCCGGCAACCTTTGGCACCTTCCACCAAGGAGAGGTTGTCACTGTTGTAGAGGGGACGAACCGGCCTGCCGGCCAGCCCAACCTTGCTGCCTTATTGCGGGCAGGCACGTTTCGGGACCAGCCATGCCTTGATCCCAACGGACCGAAGCCAGATGCTTTCTGTTTTCTTACTGATGCAGGCCAGCGTACCATAGAGGTAATTTCTGAGATGCCTCTTACTGCAGCTGACTTTAAGCAGGCCACGGTTCGGGCCCTTGGGTACACCCTCGAAGCCACTACGGTCTGCCCCTCTACCCCAAGAGTCCGCAACTGCGCTTTCCTTGGTCAACGATTTAGAGCCCTTATAGTTGCAACCGAGACCGTCTCACGCATACCAATTCCACCAGGTAGGCCGCTTTCAGTTCAACACATCATCTTGTTGGATCTACGTCCACTTCTTCTTGATTTTCAGTGGATCAAGTTGGTAGGCGGTAAGACTACCATTGCCCACCTCCTCACAGGGCTTGCTATAGAGGCGCCACGAGGATACAGAGTTGATGTTTTTAGCGGGGTTGAAGAGCGTGATCCGAGGCAACCCTTTAGGCTCCACCACGATGCCGTGCTCGTCTTTCACTATGCCCCTACCGATGCGGACTCGTCTCCGTCATCTATTATGCAAGCCGTCACAGAGACAGACCCCGCTGATGTCACAGATCTCAGTGGGATCGACGAGGATACCCCACCAGTTACAGGCTCCGGTTCTGACTCACCACGACCCCACAGTCGTACTCCCAGGCGCACAGGCCTAGGAGATGAAGCTCGAGAAGGCCTGATGACCATTGATGAATGTGCTACCCTAGCTGTACACCGGAGCATTAATGACGGTGTTTGCGGTCTTTGGGTAAGCCCTCCGGACTGGGCCCGCCGCCTGTTCTGGGCCATCCTTGGAGCCGAGCACCCCCCACGTTTCCATGGGCTTCGTCAGCTTGCCCTTACCTGGGAAAGCTTTACTCCTGCAGATGCAGTGCACAGACTTGGGGGGTTGACTGTCCTGACCACCAGGCTCCTGGTTGAACCTTCGCATGGGCGGAACGCCGGTCAATCTACATGGCTACTCTCCGCCGCTTGGCCACTGACCTTGGTGGCCCATGGCCCTACGCACCACACGGCGTGCTGAGCGTATAGTGGTGCATGTTGATTCGCCTAGGACACCGGCTGAGCTGGCGACCCTTATCCAGCAAGTTAGGAGCCCCGACCTGCGACGTTGCTTTCCCCATCTGTACTTAGCTCTGCCCCAAAGCGTCCAAGGCATCGCGACGTATGTTGCGACACCCCATTGGGATCCTACAGCAGTTGTCATATGCATAGACGCCACACTAGTTGACAACCGCGTCTACGCCGTGCATGCCCCGGCCTATGCTGATAGGGCTCTGCTCTGCGAGCTAGCTGACCTGCCTTCCGCAGCTCAGCTCGACATCTTCCTTGAGGTCGATGACATACCCGTTACGGATGGGACCTATGCCCACCTTGTCACAGGCATTACCGTGTTCGTCGTACCGCATCCTCACCAACCCCTCACTTGGGACCTTACAAGTGCCCTGCTAAATGGCAGAGGATGGGACACCCAGCCGGTTGTGCAGCGTACGTATGGAGACAGGCCCTATTGCCTTGTCCACGGCACCAGGCATCGGCGATACTATCGCCCGGAGGGTAGCCCGGCCACATTTCGGGAGCAGCTCGCAAGAGCGGTGGGCGCCGAGCAATCGTCCATTCACATAGCCCCAGCAGTCCCCCGGGTAGTTAATGCCTCTATTGATGGTACTGACTGTATTACAGTTCTTGCTGTCGCCGTCAGGGACAGAACCCAGCCAGCACAACCCTGCCTTGTAATCCTGGACTGCCGGGCGCTGCTTGAAGGTTGGACGACATGGACGGTGTACCCGGGTCAAGACGGGGATGCTGATATCACTAGAGCTCTACGCCTTACAGTGCCTCTAGGTTATGATATAGTCCTCAACCCAGGCCTTGAGGCAGGCCCCCGGGTCGGCAACGTCTCGGGACAAGTCTTGAGTGTTGAGTGTATCCCACGACCGGTACAGGTTGCAGATTTGGCACCTGACCATGCCGAGGCTCTTCTCCCTGACCTCATACCGGAATGGCCGCGCATTACTGTTGATGACGCCGTTCACCAGCTGCAACAGGCACAGGCTGAGGTCGTCGGACGCGGATCGGTTACAACCTCCCACGCCGAGGCCCCGCCAAGGCTTTTGCAAACCATAGTTGCTGTCCCGGACTATCTGCCGGAATTGCATGAGCTCAGAACCCACGTACCTCATGATGTGCCTGACTTTTTGGCAAGAGTCAATTCCGTCCGGCTTGATGTTGATGCCCGCCGATTTCCACATCTATGCCCAGCGACTCCGCAGCCTGACATGCGCTTCGTGACACTCGTCGCGACCCCAATGTGGCCCACCACTCAGCGCACCATTGTTGTTGATTCCAGACAGCACGACGAGCGCATCTTTGCTGTCACCGCACCTAGCCAGGCGGACTATGGTGTCATTTTTGCACTAGCAGACCTCCCTGCACATGCTCAGGTCTATATCTATGCTGGTGCCGGCCAGTGGCCACTCCGGCACGGACACTACGTCGATGTTCAAGATGGAGATCTGTTTACCATTTCCGCTACGTGGGAATATAGTCTGGCTCGTCCAACTACCGCGGAACTTCTACAGGCTGAGGACCAATGGTGTGCCGATGACGGCTTCGCCGGTCAATACGGAGACCGAGTGTATCTCGTCACCGATACTGAGCCGATACTCTATGATGTGGACCGAACGCAACTACGGCATTTTCGCCGCGATGTGGCGGCAGCACTCGGATTGGCCAGCTCTAGGCTCGTACTGCAGCCCATCACCCCACCAATCCGTGACTTTGCAGACCGAGGTCGCCTCGCTAGGTCAGTACTTCTAGCCGTGGAAGCTATTCATGATAGGGCACATCAGGCCACACGCCGGCCCCTACTGTTGGATATGCGGCCACTTCATCTAGGCTTTCAGGCCACCTATGCCCCGCCCAGTGGTTATGATGTAGCAGCCCTGATTCAGCGACTTCAGGGTTTTTGCCCGCCGGGCTTTGTGGTTACGGTAATGCACGGCAGCCCACCTACACCGATGCATGCGCAGATCTTACAAGTTGATCCAGGCTGCGTGCTCACAGTTGAGCTTGCCCCACTTCCGGGAACAGTTGGGCCTGACACCGCTGCTAATCATACCGTGTCCATGCACCATATAGCCGCCACACCCCTACGACATGGGGTCGACGCGGCAGACATAGCCCCTCACGGCCATGCTACAGCCGAAACGACGACAGCCAATCGGCCACCTGAGCGATACAGGGATCACTGTGGAGTAGTGTCTGCCAGCCCTGCAGGCGACCAAGTTGTTGACGGTAGCTGGCTCGAGGCTGTGATACCCCGCCACATGGCTGAGTTTAGTCGAGAAGTCAAGTGGAGCCGCCGTTCCTTCCGCCACGCCCATCCACCGGGCAACGACGGCCTCACCCCTGTCCTCCTAGGCTTGACCATAGGGTTATGGGTCCTTCTAGCCAGCAAGCTAGCCGCTATGCTGGCTACGGTACCCTTTACCACAGCCGTCATTCTGTGCGCTACCGGTCGCACCCGCGAGCACCCACGCACCAGATGGCTGTGTGTCATACTTGCGTTTGCGCTTGTTGTACCTGTTACTGCAGCGCCCAGCGATCTGGGCCAGTGCGAACAGGCCCAGTGTACCCTTCCCATTCTAGCAAGCACAATCGTCGGAGTCGGCGCTGTCAGACGACCTGTCCCAACGCCTAGTCGCTCCTGCAGACGGGGGGGGTCAACGACCGCCGACCTCGTCAAACCGAGCCAAGTTAGTGACGTATGTGCCCCCCCAACGGGCTGCCATATAGAGATGCGATCATGCCCTCCCTCGGTCGGTCAGTCACGTGAGCAGACTGGCTACGTCATGACTCCCGACCTCAACGCATTACATGATTGTGTACCGGACCCCGATGTACAGGCGCTCTTTAATACGATAGAGCCAGGACAAACCGTTCTGGACGAAGCGCGGCAAGGTGCGCACCAAGGAGCCATGCTTGAAGCCCGCATATTGGTTGAAGCGGTTGTAGAGCATAGCCTGCTAGCTGAACATCGGGCACCGAACACAGCACGGCGCCAGGAATGTGTGCAGGACATCAGTCTGGCAAGCGTAGTGCCTATCACGCCCTACCAACAGAGCGTGCTAGACCTTGGTGCGCTAATGCCCTTCCTACGGACTCCTCAGACTGAGGCCGAGCTAGATTGGCTGGATAATGATCTTGGCATTATCACCGGGGACGTCGCGGTTCCTCTCGAGTATCGCACCCAGTTTGTTAATATCAAGCGCTCACCCCACTCCGTGCGCTTGGGCCTTCGGTGTATGGGCTGAAGTAGCGGGTCAGAGGCTACTAGTCGGCTATGCTGCCAACACTGCAGTCAGAGAGGATTCGCCCTATTACCTTGGCGAGCCGGATGACACTCCTCAGACCTCTGAGCAGCTTGCGCTGGCATGGGCCCTCTGTTGGACCATCGAGTTTGCGCCAGCTTTCAGCTGCCCTGTCAGGTTCGCTTACGATTGTATGGTAGCAGGCAAGGGGGCTTTTGGAGAATGGAAACCTCCGGCTGCAAGAGGAGAGTGCAGACAATCAGAGCTCCCTCTTTACCTACTTCACTTGCGACAGATTGCGGTAAGTAGGGTCCAGTTGGATCACATGCACGTTCCGGGCCATGCCGGACATCTGGAGAACGAGTTCTCCGATCAAATTTCGAAACAGGCCAGACGGCAGGAGACAACAGCGGGCGATAAGCTGCTACCCTTATGGCCCAGCCAGCTCCGGACGCATGACCTTTGCCCTTGGACGTGGCTACTTGCTGCCAATGGTCCTGATGTACCAGCACTATATGCCTTTGAGTCTGAGGCCGCGCGCTTGCAGACGCTGGATGCCAGACCTGTGTCCGCGCCATTCCCGGTCCAGGAGCAGCAAGCCTCAACTGCAGAGTGCGCGTATAGCTTCGCCGCCATTACGTATAATGTGCTGACGCTACGGGACACACATAAAGGTAAGGGGTCGGAGCCTGCCGGTCTTCGCATCATGGGACGGAAAACTATTTTCAAGCAGCAGCTTGAAAAGCTGTCCCCCCTCTTTGTAGGCCTTCAAGAAACTCGGCTCCCTGAAGCCTGCATGCAAGCGGACTCTGACTACTGGATTTACCAATCCGCTGCTACTACGCATGGGCACTTGGGCTGTGCCTTGTGGGTGGCGAGGAAAGTTGAGTATGCGAGAAAGGCAGGCCGAAACCTGTATATTAGCGACAGTGATGTCAACATATCCGGAGTCTCACCGCGGCATCTGTGCGCATGCATCCACGCGGAGGCTTTACGCCTCATGGTCATGGTGGTGCATGCGCCTAGCGCCTGCAAGGTCCCGCTTGATGAGGTTCAGGCCTTTTGGCGAGACCGGGCCGCGGATTTGGCGAGAAGGCCCGCTGGATTTGACTTCCTTATCCTGGCAGATGCCAATGCACGCGTGGGCCACATCAGCACAGACCATGTAGGGGACCACCACTCCGAGACGGAAAATGCTGCCGGAGAGGTGCTCCATGACTTCTTGCAGGAAACAGGGGCCTTTCTGCCAACTGCCTTCCCTGATATACACGAGGGAGGTAGTATCACGTGGAAGTCCCCCACAGGAGATACAGCCAGGCTTGATTATCCCATTGTTCCGCTCTCTTGGCGCAATTTCGCGCTCCGATCCCAGGTCCTTGATTGCCTGGAGATGCTACAGCTTCGAGATGACCATTACCCGGTCATGCTGCACTGTGCATGCGTTCAGCAAGCTCCGCCAACCGCTTATCAGGCGAAACGGCGTGCGGCGCTTCGCCCAGCCAAGCCCGCTACTCCACAGGAACGGCAGCATACCCGGCGATGCCTGGCCCAGGTGCCCCTGATTCCGTGGCACATGGATGTAGATGCCCATTATGAACAACTCTCGGAGGACTGGATCAATGCCGGAATTGCCATGCAGGACACTTCGGCGCCCAATGTGGCCGCCCCCATGCAGCCCCACGTTAGCGAGCATGCACGTCATCTTGCATTAATGAGGCAAGGTCTAAGGCAGTACCTTAAAATGGAGGCAGGGGAGAGGCGACGGAGGCTTTTACAATTTGCGTACGTTGCACTGCTCCTTCATGCGCAAGGCAGACAGTTCAGCACCTCGCAGCTGAAGCCATGCAGCGCCTGCATCTCTATGGCTTCTATATACGTAAGCAGGTTGAGCTGGATCGCCGAGCTTATCTAAAGAGTCTGGCTGACAATGTGCGGATGCAGGACATTAGGCACCCACAGGCTCTGTACTATGCTGTGCGCAAGGCCTATCCCGCAGCACGGTCTGCGCGTAAAAGTGCGTTCAAACCACTACCAGCGGTGCGCGATGACAAGGGTGAGCTTGTTGTCACCTGCGCAGACCGCAATGAGCGATGGAGACGACACTTTGCGGATCAAGAAGCCGGTCATGTTGTAACCGAACAGCAGTACATACAACATGTCCAAGACAAATCGCGACTGCGGGAGACAGCTGTCTTCGACATACATGCGGTCCCCACTTTAGCAGAGCTGGAGACCATCGCACAGGCCCTGCGGACCGGCCGTGCGGCTGGACTAGACAGAGTCACCAGTGAGTTCCTTCAATCCCACACCCCTACCACTATGCGCCAGCTCCTGCCAATATGTCTTAAGTCAGCTTTGGCGTTACGGGAACCCGTGCACTTCCGAGGTGGGGAACTCATCTGCTTAGCAAAAAAGGCAGGAGCGGCACTACAGTGCAGTGGGTTCCGTAGCATCCTCATCAGCAGTGTACCAGGCAAAGTCCTCCATCGTGCCCTACGGACAAGACTCGTCAACCTGCTCATGGCTCACTGCCCAGCCATGCAGGCCGGTGCGGTGCCAGGCGAAGGCATAGAACATATCGCGCTAGCTGCCCAGTCGTTTCAACAACTCCACCAGGGTCACAAACGGCCATGGGCCCTTGTGTTCTATGATATTCAAGCGGCCTTTTACTCCGTCATCCGAGAACTGGTCGTGCCAAGCACTGCCAGTGACGAGGGCTTACTGCGCCTCCTTCATGCCCTCCGGCTGCCAGACGGTGCCATCGCTGAGTTGCGTGAAAAACTTGAGGGCATCGCTCTCTTGCCCAAACTCGGGGCATCAGACCACTTAACGGCTCTTGTCCAGGATCTCTACAGAGGAACCTGGTTCAAACTTACACAGAGCTCGGTCATCACCCTCACGCAGAGGGGCACTAGGCCAGGTGATCCGGCTGCGGACGCCGTGTTCGGCCTTGTCATGTCAGCCATGCTGCGTAGCATCACCGAGAGTCTAGCCCAATCCGACTTACTCCCCGTTCCCCTTGAGCCGGAGAACCCACCTCACTGGGCTCGCGCGACCGATACTGGTGGGTGGGGATGCCCTGCCTGGGCGGACGACTTCGTGCAGCCGGTCGAAGGGCCCAACGATACCACTCTGTTGCAAAGAGTGCAGAGAGCAGCCGGTATCGTAGCAGAGCGAGTCACAGCCCTGGGCATGCATCTCACATACGCCCGGGATAAGACCGCTGTCTTGCTGCCTAGCTGGATCAGTCCCACGCAGCAGCCGATACAGCTGAACGCTGACGGCGAGCCCTTCATCAGAGTTGAGAATAGATTGCTTGTGACCCATCACAGCCTACCCGTCGTGACGGCCTATAAGCATTTGGGTGGGATTGTCACAGCTGATGCCAAACCAGGGCCGGATCTCCGATTCAGGTTTGCGCGCGCCCTCGCCGTGGTCAAACCGCTCCGAGCACGCCTGTTCGCTGATAAAGGCACACCTATCAGCATCAGGAGGGCCCTTTTGAGGTCCTTGGCGATATCCAAATTGTCTCATACTGGGGCGGCGCTGTATCTTAAAGCTTCCATCCACCAAAGACTCTGGGCTCAGCAGTACATTAGCTTGTGGCGTAATCTTTTCGCCAAAGCTGGCCCCACCCATCATGTGCACGCTTACGAGGTGCTGCTGCTCGCCCAAGCAGCACCTCCGCCCTTGGCGCTGGCACGGGCAAGAGCCACCTTCCTTGCCAGGGTTGTTCGAGCAGGCCCGACACCCTTGGGCACACTTTTGTATGCTCATTGGCAACAGTCACCCTCGACTGCCTGGCTGACACAGTTGGAAGCAGATTATCATACTGTGGCTGCGTTTCTGCCCGAGGTTAAGGGCTTGATCTCAGCCTCCTCTCCAGTCGAAGGCATACTTGAGGCCCTTGACGTAGATCCGAGATGGTGGTTAAGGCAAACTGTCGCTGCAGCGCGCAGCTTCCACCGTGATCTCGTCAAATGGCGAGCGGCGGGCTCTGTCACGCCCCAGCCCGAGCCGGTTGAGGCCCCGAAGCCCTACCCATGCCCCATGTGTCAGGCTGCTTTTCGCCTCCGTAAACACCTGGGTGTGCATCTAGCCCGGACTCACAACATCATCAGCCCTGCACGCCACTACGCGCCGACAACCTCTTGTCTGGCATGCCAGAAATTCTTTGGTGCAGTGCCCAGAGTCCAGATGCACCTTAAACAATCCCCGCAATGCCTATTGCGTGTCTCACACCTCATTCCTCCACTTACCATTGCCGAGGTTAAGGAGGCAGAGGCTGAAGCGAAGAGCCATGCTACCAGGCTAAAAAAGGGGATATGGCAGGAATACCTGCCACCGCGCGCGGCCATACCGGCCTACGGCCCTCCGCTCCCCACCAAGGACGAACGGGCGGTAGGAAGGGACGAGGAAGACGAAGAGGTCTTTCTCTCTGAGTTACGCCCCACCTATTCGCCGTCAACAGCCATACGGCAATGGCTAGAAGCGTACGTAGGAGGGGCGTCCAAAGAGGGCCCGCGGATGACCGCTGCCTCTTTCTGGAGGCAGAGGCCTGGTTTCACCTGATTGCATGCAGTTTTGGGACGCGCGCGCTCTCCGAGTGCGCCCGGATGTCCGTGAGTGAGTGAGTGAAATGTATTTTTGGGGCTCCATATTGTAAATGCAATAAATAGAATACACCCCAAAGTCCCCAAAGCTCTATTCGGATCACTAGTCCCCTATATAACGTTGTCAGGTTCTTGCAGACTTCCTCTTCGTCCCTGGTGCCAGACTCCATCATGGGGAGACCGATGAGTCTGCGCGAGGGCTTCAGGCTTCAGGCTTTAAAGTTTAGGGTTTAGGGTTTAGGCTTTAGGGTTTAGGGTTTTTGAGCTTTGGATTTCCGTTCGGGGTTTGGGTTCAAGACTGAGTTTTTGGTTCTGGATGCGCAGTATCGTCGTCGTCATCGTCATCGTCATCATCATCGTAATTATCATCAACGTCGTCGTCCTCGTCGTTGTCGTCGTCGTTGTCGTTCTGAGATTCTGGGTGCCAAAGTCATTATCATTCTCATGGACTGTGTCCGTATCTCGCAAGTGCCGCTATTAGTTGCACAATTCGTATTATTCCACTTTTTTGGTAAACTTCAGTTGAGTCATAATTCTGGGGGCAACGCAGCTTGGTATTTGGGACAAGTAGACGGTTTACATATACTTGGACCCTGAAACTTGAAACTTAGGTTTCAGGGTTCAATGTCGAGGGTCATATTTGGACCCTACACCCTACACCCTAAACTAAACCCTAAACCCCAAACCCTAAACCCTAAATCCGGAACCCTCAACCCTAAACCCTAAACCCTAAACCCTCAACCCTAAACCCTAAACCCTCAACCCTAAACCCTAAACCCTAAATC